AATTGATTTATATAACGTATACAATTAGTAAGAATCTAATCAAGAGTATAACTATTCTTATCTGTATTTCCCTATTACTGCGTGAGAGTATTTTCTATGATGAAATTAAAATATAGAGATGAATGAAATAAGTGTATGCTTGAACTTATTAAATACGAATTGATTATCTCTCTTAATGCCAATGATACATGTGCTGAAATATACGATAATTTTTTTAATAATGAACGATTGCTAAAAGCTGCTAAGAGCAATAAAAATATATATATTTATATATAACCAAACCTATGTACACATTTAAAATTAACATGTAATATGTTTATAAAACAAATATTTTCCCTAGTAAAAATGTTATAATTTTGTTAAAAAATTTAGTTCTTTAAAATAAAGATACTTTTTGGTTAAAAATGTTTTTATTTTTTTTTGTGTGTTTGTACTTTACTGGTTTTGGTAACCTAACCTAACCTAACCGTATATTCACAATTTGTTTTGTGAGCCGAAAAATATCCTCAAGTCATGATGTACTTTGAAAACAAAAAGGTGGCAACCCTGGGTGTAGGTAGGTCGCGGCGGTGTACACAATAATATATGTACTGCTGTGGTTTTTAATTGCCGTTTTCGCCTCGTTATTGTGTTGCTGGTGCGCGAGCGCGTGACAAGTACGCATCATAATGATACACTATCATTACGTATCTGTGCATATGCATATAACAGTAATAATAATATTGTTTGAGCCGCCGAACGGGAATTATTATTGTTAAACGAAAGTTAGTTTTTCGAATGGAAAAAAAAAAAAAAATTGAAAAAAATTATCGGTACCACTATTATAACGGCCGTTAACGGGCGGTGCGGAATGCGATGTATAATTAAATACTCCACGGGCAACGTAGCATGAAATATCTTTCGTGAGCGTACCACAAGACGGATCGCGCGGTTGGCGAATTCGGCTGGAGAAACAACAGCGCGTCGTGTCTGTACAGATACGTAATAATGTTTTAATTATATTTACGCCACTAGCGCGTTTACAATGCATGTACGATCCGCGTTCCTTTACGATTCGCTGCCGTTCGTAGATCACAGCCATTCCGAAATCGGATCAATAATCTTTCGTTTTCCCGTATCTCTTGTGTTCGCTGTGTGTCGTGAAGTTTCAGACCCACAGTGCCGTTAGTCTTATCTTTCGGCACGGACAAAGATTCGTACAGGCAATCCACCGATCAATCCGATTTTCAGCGATTCAATATTTATCAACGCACACCACGATCGGGATATTGTTAACGTGCACTGTTACTGTACAACTTGGAACCGAGTAGTTTAACCGTCGGTCAAAGTTATAAATATGTAAAAAAAAAAACCGTTACGATATGTCCTTTCTTTTCCCACCGCAATCACGCCACACCGTTCGGATGGATAACACGGGTTCCGTCCTTAGGGATAGTTAGATCTTTAACATTTAAGGTAGGCCACTCCAGCTCATAACATTTTAGACTTAGTCCCATCTAGTAGCCCATCTCATATTATGACCTGTACTATGCTCTGCGTGTGGACATTATCACGGCACAAACGTTTACAGGATCGAAACGCGAACAGAGTATTCAGCTGCAATCGCGGTCGGGGAGCACTCCACGGTGTTCGAAAAATGTCGTGGCCATCAATTTCGTGTCGAGCCGGTAATAAGTTCGTCACCGTTGTTCTACCTTGACGCACCGTCGCGATAAATTATCCGTCATTATAATACACGCATCGTTGCGTTCAGTCCACACAGACGGGCGTGTACGATTATTAATGGTCGACACCATAGGCGCAATTATCAGGGGGCTAATCCCCCCCCCTAAACTTTGCATAGCCATCAAAATATTTTTAGGAACATCTTACACAACAAGTTTTTCCAAATGTTTTAAACTCGTTCAAGTAGCAATCACATTAACAGTCAGTTCATACACTTGTGAAAGATAATTTTCGGCAATGCGAAGAATCGATACATATATAAGGTCTACTATGTCCCAAAACCGGTTCAATGAATTAGGTATACTTAACATAGAAAAATGTATTGTTGTTGACACCGAGGATATTTTAAACGAATTTTCTAAAACAGAAAGAAGAAGAATAAAATTAATGTAAAATTTACTTTTTAATAATCTGTTGCGATTAAAAAATACATATTTAAGTATTATAAATTGATGATTTTGATCGGTACATTTAGTCTGAGTGTAGCGAAGAAAATTTTTTTATGATTTAAGCATCAGTAAAGTGTTCAATATAAACCCGAGTTTCAGCTCCCCCAAATCTCAAACATTATTTGCGCCTACGGTCGTCCCTACTCGAACGTACACCGATGGTACGTCGACGGAGTGAAACGTACGGAAATGCTACAGCGCCGTGTGATTCGTAACAGCAACAAACTACCTACGAATCGTGTTCTTTTCAACGGCGGTTAGGTTAGGTCCAGGCACTCCTGGACACCTGTGAGAGACTTGTTGTTGCGAAACAATTATTATACCATTTAGCTTGATTCGATCAATCCTCGGGAGCATCACGAGATCGTTTTCAGTGTTTAGTGATCGATTTTTATTAACCGTACGTTTTATTCGGAATGTTCACGAAACCGTGTACAGCACGATAAGACGGTGCACGGACGCCTCTTACGGACGGGAAATTAATCGCACGGACCGATGTACTATCGATTGAGGTCGATCATCACGCGAAGGTCCTTCGTCAGTATTTCGTTTTTCTGATTCGACGTTAATCGGTACTGGATGGCTTGCTAATTCGCTATAAGTGTACGGTGGAAAGATCCGGGCTCTTGGAATCCGGATACTGTTCTAAATCCGAACTTGGAACTTTGAAAAATTGAATTAGTATTCGTGTGACTTACGATAGAGTGTTGACAACTACGCGTATTTTATGTTAAATCAATTTTTTAATTAGAATACAGAATTCCGCAACGTTTAACTTGAAATTCCGATGTTGAAATCTGAAAATTTTAAATTCCGAAACCCAGATCTTCCGGGAATCCGGATTTAATTTCCATCACAAATAGGCAAACGTGGAATTGGTTGCCGAAAAAAATACTTTCAAGCATACGACTGTTCGAATTGGTTCCCGACTAAAACTATTCATCAGTTTATCGGTATACAACTCGCTGTTACAAACATATGTATATGTATTTTTCAGCCAAATTAACAACAAACTGTTGCGAATCGTTTCACGGAAAACCGAATTCTAGATTTTATTCCGTCCACTCGAATATTTTTTTATTTGTTTAACAATCAAAAGCGGTCCAATGCAAAAAATTTACAAAACAAAGAAGCTCGCTTAAATTAAAGAAAAAAAAAATGCCGAAAAAGAATAGTTTGTCGATTAAAATATTAAAAAAATCGAAAGACGGCCGAATTTCGAACCTACAGTTTCGTACCACACTAAGTTTTTGTTAATACTTTATACCTATTATCACTTATTATTATATAATAATTTGAAGTGTTAATTTAACAAGGTTGTGTTATCACGAAAGCTTGCGGGAACAAATTCGACAGTTGGGAATCGATTCGCAGTGGCGTAGGTTGATTTTCTAGCGTTCCTGGCAAACTTAAAAAAAAATTCTTTTTAACCAATTAAAATTAGATGTTATAATATTTTTTTTAAACTTTAATTTTACTATTTTTTTTTTTTTTTAAGTATGCTATTTATATTTATAAATTATTATTACATTGTTCATTTCAAACTTTGAAAACTTGCTTTTCTCGCTTTATGACTGATAATTCATCGATAATTCCTTCACATGCAATTTTTTATTTAAATGCCCTTATGCTATTTTCATAATTTCATCGTTAAATCCACACGTAGTGTGTGGAAATAGACAACATCTACGTATTTCAACAAGTATAATGGAAAAATTTCGACTTTAGGATTGAAACACGACTTTTGCACAGTTTCGCGCCCCTTTGAAATTCGCGCCTCTGGCGTAGGCGCTGTTCGCCGTACCCTTGCTAAGCCACTTAGCATACAACGCGGTACCGACTAGTTTTATTTACACTTCGGGGGCGCTTTAGATCACTAGAACAGGTCTAGGAAATCGGAAACGGGTCGCGTGCATGTGATCGACGAACCGGTATCGTATAGAATCGTATAGGTTTTGAACCCCCGGAGCTGAATATCAAATATTGTACACGGTCAACGGATTTATTGTCTCGCGACGGCTGCGGCACGTATCACCTGAACAAGTACGTGACCGGCCGGTACGCATTTCTTTTATTTTTTTTTTTTTTTTTGGGCACCACTGATTAACAACCGGTCGTGTAATAATAATAACAACAACAACGACGACGACGATAATAATAGTAGTAGTAATGATAATATAATAATAGTATAAATAATATAAACGCGAGCGTACGAGAGACGGTAAGTGATGGCGGACGGGTGGGTGGTGTTACGAGAGGTGTTGGGTGCCTGTCAAACGCGCGCGTATAACATTTAATGTCTTCACACCGGCGGCGGCGGCCGAGACTAATCGTAAAAGATGTCTTCATCAACAACGCGGAAAACACACGCACACACACGTAAACGCATATGTCAGAATAAAGTGGCCGAACACCTGTGGCCGTGTACACGTATACGTTCGTCCTATTGTCGGTGTAACTTACGAGAAGCAAGTAACGGCCTCGGCCGCGCCGCGTTTTACCATTTTTTCCTTCTTTATTTTCGTCGGAAACCGTACGATTATTATTTAACTATTACCGAGTCGGCGGCGGTCTGAGTGGTGCTAGTGACGTACGGTAGTAGGAGTAGGGGTTGTTCTTTTTTGTTATTTTCACCCGGTTCGTCGGTCGGACCGGAATAAAAAAAAAAAAAAAAAAACAACGTCCGTTTAACGATTCGTATACACTTGGTATACGTCGTCACGAACATCATCGCGCGCGCAGCGGAAATATTCGTCTTCCGTACAAGAACGATATAACTCGGTGTTTTCATTATTTCGTTTTTAATACAATATCGTATACATAATATTACATACATAAATATATAAATATTTATTGAATACTTAAAACGTAAAAATGCGTTTGTACAAGTCGTTCCGCGGGTGGGTAATCGTTTTATAAAAGTACACCATTTCGATATATAAATATATATTATTGTTGTAATTTACAGCTCGGACTCGTGTACAATTGTATGCGATTATTGTTGCTCGTTGACCAATAAAACGAAGATCGCACGACGAAATGCGGTAGCGAACAAAACGGTTCGCCGTACACTTATTGTTACATAAAATACATTCGTATAAACACACAACAACGGGGACGAGGAGATTACGTATTAATAATTTCTATAACAATGGAATGGCGAGTGCGGGGAGGGGGGAATGATAAAAATATGCACATTATAATAATATACGCGCGTATTCCTTCCGACCCCGTACGAGTCGTTACAATATGAAACGTAATACAACTAAACATTTTTATATTGCACTCACATGTATAATATTTTTTTAACTTACAGATATGCCAAAAACGTTCCGCACCATGCGCCGTTACAATCAATAACAATAATAATAATAATAATAATAATAATAATAATAACTACAAACGGGTATACACATATCGTTATTTTTTTTCATCCCGAGTAATTTAATATATCCATTGATGCGACTAATAACCAAGTACACATTAGTGGATATATTATACTACATTTTTATTATTCCCGTAATAAACTCGTATATGACAATTTATACAGTGTTAAAATATACATAATACATTGACTAGATTCAATTGTTTTGTTACATGCGAACAGAATACATATACAGATATATATTTATAACGAGCGGACAGGGGCTGGTAAATTAATTTTTACAAACTATCGTCATATTGTTGAGCCACGGGTTCGATAAATGTGTATTGCGCGCGTTTTCATACCGTGGTATCTGCGAATAAAGTTAACGGTAATCGTATTGTAATCGTTTTCGTCACGAGAAAGAACTGGACGTCGAGTTTGAATTTTATTGAAATTCATGTCTAGTGGCTAAAACGCGCTCTAAGTCGGTGAATCGGACAAATGGGCGATACGAGAATCGGAATAAGATTCAATACATCATAGGTAACTATATATGTTATTAAACGGAAACTGTTTCCAAAAATACGCGTCCACTGAATATCATCTGTAAACATATTATGCGTCTAAAATGATTAAGAACGTAGAAATAATCGAACAGGAAAATAAGCTACCACGTGACGGAAGAGTAGAAAGAAGTTTAAATTTATTTACGGATGTCGGTGATATTAGCATAAAAATAACAGTAACGATGATAATGCAGCAGAAACTGATCGGAACAATATGCGAGGGGAAGAAATTTGGTTTTGTTCGACCGATACGCGGCGGCGACAACCGACGGTCGATTAACAACTGTTCCCCGCGTACCGTTTCCGATGTTCTTGATGACTTTTAATATTTAGAAACGATCACTTCGACCACCGTTTTATCGGGTTTCTTTGCGCGATCAGAGGACTAAACCGTACGTGTTGCCCCGGTTAGGACAAGAAGTTCACTTATGGTAATGCCGACCAATGAAAAACGGTTATCACTGCAAGGACCACATAATTCATCTTTACGATATTTACACCATTTATGTGAATAATGTTAAAACCTAGCGCGTTAAACTACTACGTACATATAATTAGGAACCTATGACGTAACGCGCAGCGGTTCCCGAACTTTTTTGGGGCCCCCAAAACGAAAACGATTTTAACTTCCCGCGAACAAAAATATAACGGTTTTTTTTTTTATTACAAGCAAATTATTGTCGATACGGTACAGTGTAATGCGTAACATAAGTATTTTTGCTCGTGCCTACCCCAGTGGTGAACGGCTCGCGAAGTTCGGCAACCGCTGGTGTAACGTATAAACAAATATCATACGATGACCGTGACGATGACGATTATGCGCTGTGGCGTCGGTGACGTGCAAACTGTGTGACGGGAGAGTGGCCGCGCTACGGTTGTTCGGTTGACGATCCGGTCGCACGTCTCATACTTTGTTGTTGTTGATGTTCACGTGGGCGGCCGTGATGCTGAACGGCCGGTTGCCGCCTGCCAACAGCGACTCGATGCTGAACGGGTTGAGCCGACGGTTCTTGTCCGCCGAGGCCGTGGACGACGTGGTGGTCAGGTTCAGCAGCGGGGGCGGTGGCGACGACTCGCCGTCCGCGGCCAACGGCAGCCGCCCGTACGCGCGGCCGCCGCCGTACTCGTCGTCCGAACTGCAGCTGTCGTCCGCGCGACACGAGGCCGTCGCGGCCGAGGCTGCCGCTGCGGCTACGGCGGCCGCGGCCGCGGCGGCGCGCGCGTACGGCGGCAGCCCTTCGTCCTCGTCCTCGTCTACGTCGTCGTCGTCTTCGTCGTCGAACGTGGTACTCGCACTCCGCCTGTGCAGGTGGTGCAACATCCTGTGGTGGTCCTCCTCGCCGACCACGTCGATCTCTTCGTCCCGGCTCGTCTGGCCGCTGCAGCAGCTCGACGAGTCGTGGAACGACAGATCCATGCCGGCATTCGATGACCCACCGATCCCGTCCATCGCTCCGACAACTCCCACGCCGCAATCCATCTGGCCGTGTTTTTTCGCTGCGTCTACGGAAAACAAATCAAACGACAAACATTATTCAATTGTCCGTTCCCGTCGAGTCCGGTAGGTATGCATAAGATATCATATCGCTATTTAATAATAGGCAATGCGATTGAACGTATTTTGTAAAAAAAATTAAAAAAATCGCTAAAAATAACATTTTCAAGAGCATTATTATTTTTTTCGAATGCATTTCTCAACGGTTTTCAAGGTATTTATTTTGATTAGGGTCGTAATGATAATAAGTACCGATATTCGATTCGATCGTTACCCTAATAGTAATGTAAATTTGAATTTCAGTACTCTGGGTGGAAAAAGATTTGGTAAGTCGGATCTTCGAAACCAAAATATTTTCTCAAAAAAAAAAAAAAGGAATTTATTCTCATTGTTTCGACCTTAAATTACCAAACCGTTGAACGAATTCGGGTTCACAATCGTACAGTGAATCCGTATACTGTATTATTTACTCGTATGTTTGTTTACGTAGCGCATTAATTTATTTAAATCTTGTACGTGTTTAATTACGCTTATGGTGGACGCATCGTGTATATCGCAGCGTTTTCCTAACGGACAAATATTGTCTGGATCCGAGTCGGCTGTCGGAGAAACGATACGATACCATTGGCCAATGCACTTTTGGAAAACATTTATTGAGGTCATTTTGATTGGTTTTCCGTTTTGGACAAGTGCGAGGTAGTTCTAGAAACACACCTGTACGTATACGTAGGCCTCCGATGCCATGAGAACACGCATTCCCAATAACCGTGTCGAAACGACACATAATATTACATTATGTTACCCGACGACGACGGTGTTGATAGTGGAAGTGGTCGTAAACAGTATTTCGTACAGGTATATTTTCAACTACACCTAATCGAATATAATAATATGCGTTCGACACATCGAGAAACGGTTAAATTGTTTAACAGGTACAATGCTACGTTGTAGAAACGCAGACGAAGGTATACCGTGCGGATAATTAGACCGATATTCTTATTAGTATGGTGTACGTGAGTGTGTGTATATAATAATGTCAACGTATCGAATTTAAGACTCTTTTTTATGTCGAACGAGGTGTATGTGTGTTCTATACACAGCGAAAAAGAAATCCGCAACACGTTTCAGTGAGTGTAATATACGGTTATTAACGCGGTGGTCATTAAGATATTAAATTATTTTTTTGTAGATTGCGTTTGATTTTATATATACTCGTATAAATGTATAAGTGGTGCGAGTTGGTCAAAGCAAAAAGCGACTGTTTAAAAAGAAAACGATAAAAAGTCCTTAATGAGAAATTTGACACGGTGAAAACACGGCCGCCACGACGACGCGACAATATAATAGTACATATAATTGCGTACTTATATAATACACCTAGGTATTTTATTTTAGATTTCGAGTAAAAAAAGTAACGTGATTGTATTATCATTTATACGAGTTGAGCCTTTTGATATAGTTCACCAACAGCATTATACAAACAACTCTCGTAAAAAAACACTTACTGTTGGCTTGCTGCGACTCCCATTCCTTGCGCAACGTGTCCAGGTCTACGTGCACTCCTTTGGCCGCCAACTTCCTCTGCTGTCTTTCCAGGCTTTTGAGCAACTTTTTCTGCCTCCGTTCACGTTCCTTACGTCGCAACTCATCTGCGGGTATCGGCTCTCCGGAACAGGTGACCGGGTGGGCGTTATGCGCCGGCCGGCCCGGACCCTTTTTGGTGTGCTCCTTTTTCCTCCACTTAGCCCTTCGGTTTTGAAACCATACCTAAAACAGAAGCCAATACAACCGTTTAGTACACAATGCGTATATAATATAAGTAAACTATATGTATCTATTATCATACTGCGGTTTGCGTTCGCTTCTACTCGTATATATTGTATAGGTTTGGAGCAAATAACATTCAATAACGATTTAACCTTTTGCGATCGGGATCGTAACAATATAATGTGATCCGGTTACTAAATCTAATAAATAGCTTCGGTACGCGGGAGAAAACCATTTTTTCAATAAATTTTTATCGGCTTCGACATGTGTTCTTATCAATTTACTACTGGGCAGGAAAAAAGTGCGCGAGAACAAATTGTCCTTAAATTCTGTAATAATTCTGGGATTTCGATAAAAAAATAAATAAATACACACACGCGCACCAACTAAAGTTTATCGTCTATTTCTCGCCTCTGGCATTCACTACGATCTCGAAACCAGAACGTATTGCACCCTTGGGATGTGTTCCAACTGTATATATATATATATGTGTGTATGTTTGTGTGTGTGTATATATGTATATAGGTGTGTGTATGTGCTCCGGACAACATGGTGGCGTAGATTATTTAACCATACACAAAACCGTTTGTATATTTTCCACCCCTCGCGATAAAAAAAGGCTAACAAAAAACAACCCCTCGCTGAAAACAAGCATTGGGAATGAGGTTCTAAATCAAAATATCGAGTGGGGAGGAAGGGTGGATGCTCCAGGGAACTTATGAAAGATAAAAAGCCAATTCCTCGGGAACAATAACTCGGCGTATATATATATATATATAAAATAATATATAAATATATATCAGTGCTTGGAAAGTTCTTTTTAAAAATGAATTGGTATTTTATAAAAATAAATTAATTTCAGTTGCAACTCCTTATTTGAAGAATGAACTAGTTCTTACAAGTGAAATGATTTTTAAATTAGAAAAAAATGCAGTGATACATTTGAATTATCTATCACAGATAATAAATAAAATATGCAAACATATATACTCGTATATTGTACCTTATATTTTCTAAATAAAACGAACTGAATGTAAAAGATATTTCAAAGGAACACGTTTCCTTTTAACCGCCTTACTTCCGATCATATTAATTTATTAATTAATTTTATAAAATAATATAATATGCACTTACAGCCACTCTGGATTCTTTGAGGTCCAGTCGCAGGGCTAGAGCTTCGCGCATAAACACGTCGGGGTAGTGACTAGCCAAAAAAGCTCGCTCTAATTCTTCCAGCTGCCACGTGTTAAAATTCGTCCTGGACCTTCGCCGCTTGTTAGCCAAGTCCTCTGAACTACCTGCAGCACTGTCTCCGTCTACGCCTCCTAAAATTAACCAATTTAAATACATAACATTAGTAATACGCTCAACTATGTTATAATTTATAGCTTATGACATACGGATTGTTTAAGTTTGGAAACGTGACGGAATAAGTGAAACGTATTTATTAGATTTTAAAAGCGATTTATTCAATAGACTGAAATTATTATTTTATCATATGCACTCGTAGTTGTAAATTTACACTAATATTTATTTCGCTGTTGAAATAAGTTTTTAGATATTTTAGTCAGTTTTAGACCACCCGAATACAATAAAGGGTATCGTGATTGTAAAATAAATTTGAATATCACATTCGTGTGCGTTGTGTGTGTTTGTGTGTGTGAATGTATTTATTTCTATACCTGCGCGCTGTATATGCGATATGATAATTTGTTTTATACGACACCCAATATTGTTATGGTAAACTTTACTTTGGTAAACCTGTACATACTGTCTATTTTATTACAAATAATTCATGCGTGTACGTTTCACATGAGTAATCAAGTAAATTTACATTAATATTGAATATAATTTTAGATGATTGAAAATTATGAATTACGTACGCCGGTAGATGAATACAAACACTGCGATTCGTTACGGATTTCTCGGGAAAATAATTTTATCATGTCATTCGGTTGCGAAAACTATTTAACATATTCATAGAACACGCGTAATACATCTGCGTACACCACCAAATATGTTCTGAAAAATCACCAATAATATACACCGATATAATAATAAGTGCAATATAAATGACCGATTGAATAATGGCGTAGCGCACAAGTGACATTTTTTTGAAAAATGAGTTAAATACATATTCAATTTAAACATAAAATTCTGCAAATTATATACAAATTGAATAATAACATTATTCGAGTAATTGTAATTTTTATTGAAATTAGAAGAAAAATGTGATGTGTTTAAGTATTACTTTTTACGTATACAAGATGTGTGAAGTACAATATGTATATTTTTTTTTAATATTTTTTAAGAATACAAATATGGTATTTGCAGGTTTTTTATTCCTTATTATTCATTACATGTTAAGGCAAATATAACAAAAAGTTCATTACAGTTCGTTACATATTTGAATTGTTACAACAGCTTAAACTTAAAAATCGTTTTCCTGTACAATTACGAAAATGTATTTTATCACACTTGTGCGCTACGCCATCGATATTTCCATTTAAATATATTATACGTACGAGATGATAATGTTTTCACGTCGTATCCAGAGTACTGAGACCGGTAATAATTATCGCATACATTAAACGCACACGTCGGTCGCGAAGTGTACGTGTTCTGCAACGCTACACGTATAATATCCGACTCTCAGGTTTAGATTATTAGAGAAAATCTTTTTCACATTCCGAGTGATTTGAACTATTTCGAAGACAGATTTACACCACGGAGGAACGGTTGCGTTTTCGATTACTGCGGAAAAGTTGAAAATTGGCTTTTCCGGAGTTAGGGTAAAAACTTCGCGGGGCACACGCATCGAAGGGCGTTAAAAACACACTTTCACAGTACTAAGGAATTGAAACATAAGTTCACTTTCGGCGTATTGTTTACGAACCGAAAAACCGTACGCACGTACGTACAGATAAAAACTAATATATATATATATATACACCGTCTGTTTTTCCCTAGGTCGTTGATCAATACACGTGTACACGAGTGAATATTCTGCAGCGCACAGTAGTGTGTATACTCGCGTACATATCATATCATATATATGTTATGCAGGCCCGGGGGAAGGGACGAAAACCGCATATCGAGTTAAAACAATTTCGCAATCGCGTTATAAATCATGTGTCCCCGCGACATATGGGAATATTGGCCAAAACGGAGAAACGGTTTCCACGAGGATGTTATCTCGGCGTGCACTCGGCAGACGGTCGTAAATCATGGAAATATGGAAAAACATAAAGACGCGCGCGGCACTAGATAATAGAATCGAGAGGAGAGCGTGGAAGCAATTTTGTGTCGTAAGGACAGGAGGCGAAGGAGAAAAATTAATTTTCGCCGAAACACAGAGCCGCCCGGTCGGTCTAAGGAAGGGGAAAGAAAGAGAGATGGGGGAAAAAAATGTTTGTATAATAACCGGACCGTATATTATACGTTATAAATGAACAGACCGTTTTCATGTTACCCCGGTAACCGTCACGAGGCCGCCATTATGGCGACAGCAGAATCGCGTTATCTTTTACGAATTGCCGAAACACGAATTTGGCACAGCGGTTTTCATTTCCTAAGCAATAATGGCAAAGTAATTGAAAACCATTCCGCGGACTTGGTAACTTCAAAAACTTGTGTTGCTCGGCGCGTACTTCTACTACTGTTGTTATATGTATGTATAAAATATGATCGCGTTCACTGCAGAGAATCGTAAAATAAAGTCCAATATATAGTGGCGTTTTTGTCGTCATTGAAAGCGATGACGACATCGACGACGATCACGCGTACGCGAATAAAACATTTGCTGAACGCAGATTTCACGATAAAAATGTAAAACGCGCGAAAGCAACGTTAAGATTTGCGATTTACACAGAGCTCGGGCATAAATAAGGGGGAAGGGAAACTGGAAAATTATCCTAAACAAAAGTTATACAATTTGCTAATAAGGCTATTTTTTTATTTTTGCTTGACAAATGTCGAACAAGAGTTTTCTTCTTTGAGCAACAACACGTTGCCTTACACGTTCTCGAGGAAGCCAAACATTTGTGTAAAAATGTTAAAAAGAATATCCTTAGCGAGGGGGAGGGGGACGCCCTCGGAGCCGAGAATTCATAGTAAATAAAAACCGTTTATGATCACTGTGCACTGGATTTAGCTCACATTTTTAAAAACAGGAATATAGAAAACGAATCACGTCCATCAAAATCCGTGCGGCAAGAGCGCGCGAGTATTCGCGGTGACCAGCGAATCAAAAATCCGTTCGCGCAACCTAAACCATGTACGCGTATTATTTTTGTCGTTTTCGGACACGAGTGGTTCGCGGGACACGTATAGTACCCGATGTAATATAATATATTGTATACACGTGTAACAACGATACAACGCGTTTCGGGCGGACCGTGTCAAACGGATAACAATTCGTTAAAATTGAATTAACGCGTCCGCCGCCGATGACGACGACGACGGAGAGACTCTCACGATAGGCGCTCTGAACCTTTCTCTCCTGCAGCCGTCGCCGCCGCCGCCGCCACCGCCGCCGAACGGCATCTCAAAAACGTGTATACATATACAAATTATTATTATTATTATTACAAGAGAGGCGACAGCGATGATGACAATGGTAATAGAAATAATGGCGATAAAAAAAAAAAAAAAAAACAGACATACACACAACAAACGAGACCGAAGGCGCGAGACCAATGGGAAAATAAAAAACGGTTTCACGATGTGCGAAACATACATGTCGGGCGGCGACATTAAGATCTAGGACGATTTTATTACCTGTTATTATTATTCATTGCAGCGGCGGCAGCACAATCGCGTCCGAGAGTTATTACAGAACTCGACTTGTTTGTTATATTATTATTGTTATACACCGTGCTTTGCACGCGTATCCGTCCGTCGCCAAATACGCTTTCCCGTGCAACGTGCCCACGTGGAAAATTTCGAACGCAACACGTCAATGCGTTTCGTGAAATACTTTTTATTTCCTCGTGCGCACACATATCGAGTGCTGTCGTCCGTTAAAGGGTTTCGGAGCGATCGGAGCGAACGTGTGTATATTGTCCGATGCGAACGAGTAAGTACTGACCCCAAAAATACACTGTTGTATAGTATCGTGACTGTATAAAAAATATTTTGGTAAAAATCTAAATCTAAATACGTTTGTATTGCTATAACGGAACTTCAGGGTTCCGAGATTGCAAAATAATGCGATGATGACAGCACGATTGCAGATGACCGGATCCTTTGATTGGTACGATATTGTATCATATATTACACGTACCACGACGAGGAAAGTTTTAAAGTTGTAACTGTTTTAAGATTATAAACGAAACGCGCGAAAAACGATTAGTGTTTATAAGCATATCAAAATAATACAATGTCCGTTCTATTAAGGTCGGTCACTAACTACGCACAAGGATGTCCCAATGTGTCGAAACAGGGATGTAAAATATTGAACATGTTTGTATCTATATATGTGTCTGTGTGTGCGCGCGTAGAGGACTATTCTAATTTGGGGAGAAGCAAACAACACATTCATAACCACGTTCAAGGCGGTCAACATATAATAACGTCGCAGTTATAGATGTCATGAAACATAAGAGCAAGAACTCAACTAGGTTTCGCGGAGAAACACACGCCACACGGGGGCTTGAGGCTCTCCGTGTAATAAATTTCGGATTCCGAACAGCTTTCGCGATGTTTGACAAGTTCACCAACGGGTGTGTGACTACATGCGCAGCGTACGCCGGTGGCTGGATGTAGGTGTACAAAGTTAGTTTACGATGTTCCATTATACACGAAGGCGGTTTTTGATTAAACAAAGTTCGTTTGATGGATGACGGGCGCGACTGCGCTTCTACTATCCTACCAGTCCAATTAAACGCGAACGCGTCGACGACGTGTACAAAGTACACCGAAGCGGTCGTTGAAATAATCGGATTTCGGAAATCGCAACGGACTTTTGTACACGTACGGTATGTTCTCGTGTACCGTATATACCTCGTCGGTATAATATTATCCTATGTATGTTTTCGGGAACAAACGTGGTCCATCGGTGTGACGCAACGGTTTGTGCGTTTTACGTGTGCTGATTGTTGGGCACCTATTATTATTTGTTTTTCGAGTTTGATCGGTCGTTCCGATCAAATCAATATTCAACGTACTCCCACGAAACCGCCGATTCGCGTGATGTGCGCATTACACATTAAGTCACATTTGAAGTTCGAAATCGCTTGTTATTCGCGATTAACGACCGTTTACGGGGGTGTTAAATATATTTCACGAGTTTCTTAGCGGGTCTCTTTCATTTTTATTACAAGCG